TGCTTGACGAAAGGAACTTCTTAATTATTTATAATGCCAAATCATAGAATTATGTACTTATAAAATGTCATGTTCCGATCATTTCGTAATGCCATTTTATAGATTTAAATAAGGTAAGGGGGAGAATGTTTTACAGTTATTGTAACGTCTTAGTTAGACAAATTTCAACAAATTATTCATTTTCATAATACTTTAAATGCACAATCCATTTTTTTAAACAAAATGTAATGAAAATACATTTTCTTGCTGTAGAATGTAAAGAATAAAAAGAGCAGTGTCTGATGAGCAAAGTAGATTTTCCAACTAATAAAGTTTTGATTAGAAATTATTAATTAATTGAACAAACAACTAATAAATTTCTAAATTCTTCTATCATTCACTCTCTGAAAAATGTATTAAATTTTGCTAATTAACTGATTAAATCTTGAAGATGATAGTGTAGATAGATTTTTTTATTATTTATTTTCATTGATTTATAAATCCAAATTCTATACATTGATATCGAAGTATAGTGTATTATTATTTTTCTGATCGTGTCAACTGTTACCATTGTCAAACGGTTGTTGGATGATCATTATTTCGTCTTTTGTTTAAAATTTTTATTTATAAACAAATTTTTATGAATCGCACGTACATTTTCGAAGAAAATAGTGAATGTGAGTTTTAAGTTGAAGTTTTTCGGCTCCTCATTATAGGCTTTAGCTGTCAGGATTAAAGGCGCTGAATGTCATTAATAACAAGGTTTAGAAGGATTAAGAACATTCTACAACGTTCTTTAAAATTGCAATGGGTAGAATACGTTTTTCCATATTCTAAATAACGCAGTTTCTGATCTCTGTACAGATAAACGGCTACATGAGAGATATAAATGATGATGTTTCAATTTCCTACAACTCTCATACAACCAACACAAAACCATGTACTGATTAAGTTCTAAATTTCAAGGATAATCAATATCAGTATTTCTGATTTTGATTAAGATATATAATAAATCGTTCAGATCTGCTTTAGATATAACGAATGTGTACAACAGACTTATTTGTCCATTAAATCCATGGTTAGACTAATAATAAATCATCAAAAAGAAATTAAAAAAAAAAAAAGAAAACAAAATTGCTGTTTAAAATGTAGAAATTAAAAAGACATAGAGTTTGCTAAGTGTTGATTATCCTTGGAAAAGAACTATTGTTGTTCAGAAATTTTACACTTTGCGTATTTTATATTAGTATAATGAAACTAAAGAAGACATATGAGTTTTACATTTCAGCCCCAAGGGATTTTACTCACAAACTTTTTAATATATTGTTTCTCAACTACAGAATAGCATTAATGACGAAAAACAAAGCCGATAAACAAGTGAAAAATTATTAAGACAATAATATCTTGAATAGAGAACGATCTACATAACTATTTGTTCTAGTAGAACTTAATAATGATTATGAAATTTCGACCTCTGTCAGTAAATCAATGGTATCCATAATAAACGCATTTATGGTTAATTGATCGAATTATGTCATTTAATCGAAAAAGATTGAGGCAGTTATCTGAGAAAAAAGATGCTGCAAAATGCGTAAATGTAGTACAATATCATGGTCAGTTTACTAATCTAGAGCGAATATTTTTATCGTAACTATTTAAGAAAATCTATGTAAATAAAAGGCTAAGAATCAGATTAAAATCAATTATATTTGGATTAAAAAGACACTCTTGATACTTGATTTTAGTCAGATGTTTTGACCTTCAAAGCAAATTCTATTTGATTTTAAATGTGTTTAATCTATTTTAATCGATTATTAAAATGAAAACACTTATGACCGATTATTAGACATTGATTTTATACTTAATTAGAATTTGTTAATCGATTAAAGTAGATTAAAAAAACTAAAACTAAATGACATTTGTCTTGAAAGCCAAAAATCTAATTAAAATCAGATAAAAATAGTGCTGTTTTAATCGATTTTTAATCCAAAAATAATTGATTTTAATCTGATTATCAGCCTTTTGTTTACATGAGTTTTCTCAAAAAGTATACGATGAAAACATTCACTCCAGAGCAGTAACACGACCATAATGTTGTGCAACATTTTCGCTTTTCATACTATCTTTTTCTCTCAAATAAGAGCCTCAAGCTTTTTCTATAAAATGACATACTTCGATTAATAAACCATATTTAGGTTTATCATATATGTCATCAATTTACTAAGAAGCATCGAAACATCTCGATCACTCTTTAATAAACCTAGTAATCTATCAAAAAGAAAAATTAAATTTCATTCAACAAGAATTCATAAAAAACTAACAAAAACAAGATTATAGAATACATAATCTTGAACAACACTGCAAAATGAGCACTAAAATTTAATAATAATTGATGTTTGTTTTTCTTGTTGTTACTTAATATGTCATTTACATTGAATATTCTATTCACCATTACATACGAACCTATTGAATAGAACTTCCTTTTCTAAAATATCTGTAGATAATATTATTAAAACATGTATAAGTCCATCAATAATTTTATTCATAAATTTTTGTTAGGACATTTCTCATGAAAAACTTAAATTATTGAAATAATTTTATCCAATAGAGTTGATATATCCTACGCTTAAAGTGTCTCTTTTGAGAAATTCATCAGGACATATGCATGAAAGGATTGAATAATTGAAGAATAGTCGCGTGTTTGTAGGCGTTTTCGCATTATTTTCATATAAAAAAGAAATATTAATTATTAGTACGGTTCTTTAACAACCTAGCTATGACAAAATTCAAACTTCTACATGATAAACTTTTTATTTAATTATGCTATATAATTCAGTAAACAGTATTGAGTTATAAACAAAAGAACATGATTTTCTTAATTTTTTGCAACTCAGATTCAAGAAGATGTAATTACTGAAATGAACAAAATTCTATATATGCTTGCCAGATGTATAATTAGATAAATTGTTTTAAAGCTTGACTGTTAATTTTCCACATAAAATCGAACAGAAAAATAAATTTTTACTCTTATTCGAATTAATATACGATGAAAAAGTGTTTGCAAAAATGTCAAACTCTGTTATGTTATATTGTCGAATTCTACATGAAGAATTTTTTTTTTGTTCTAAAGAACAACGTCTGAACAACAAATTTTGCATCTGACATATTTTTGCCTGAATGGACTTGCCGAGAAGGAAACGCCTAAAATCAAATATCCTTGAAGAAAGCTCTTGCAATTTTACTCTCAAGCAACAACTTTTTTTTTTTATTTTCTGCTAATTGTTTTTAAACCAGAAGAAAAATAAAAAAACATGTTAATGCTGATTCCTATAGCATAGAAAATGCTTTTTTTCAATGATGTGTAGGAAGTTAAGTTGGTTCTTGATTTTTATACCAAAATATAGTTTTTTTCTAAAAAAACAGAGTGAGTAGACTATTCACACTTATTACCAAGTTATTTGAAGCGATAAATAAACGTTTTCTTTAATTATTTTCTCTACTATATTTCTATGATCTGATATCATTCGACCATGCAGCACAAAAGGAATTCAGTTCATACACTGATGTCTGACATTCTGGCAAACTGGTAAAGGGTGTTTCATAGCTTTTGAATCTCTTAGTTGTTTTGTATCTTGGCTATATCTAAAGGTGAATGAATATTGAATCTATCTACTTAAAGAGTAGCATATAAGCTATCATCCATAAGAAATTCGACTCATTTCATATTTTCTTTGAGTTGATGCAAATTGAGCCTATTTTCTCATGGATGATACCTCGTATGCTACTCTTCAAATACATATACTCAATGCCCATCCATTTTCAAATACGATCAAGATTGAAAAAAAAAAGAAAGTCGAAACTTATGAAACACCTTTTTTTTATTCATTCATCATGTCCATATTCATTTCATGATGAAGATTTTTCCAGAAATGTTGCCAATGTTTTAATTCTAAAGTAAAACTGTATTTATTTTCTTTTTGCAGTAATGTCAAAGTAAATGTAATTTTGTTTAGAAAGAGACATGAAACTTCAAGGAATCTATCATTTTTTCTTGAGCCTATTTCATTTATTTTTCTTTCAAGTAGTCATCTGCAACTAGTCCAGTACCCGTTATACTCTAGATGATTAATTTCACTAGTTTATTGCGCAGATCTCATCTTTCCGATTACGTATTCTACATATGACGATAGAGTTGGATTATAAGTTCAAATGGTATCAGTAATAGAATAGTCTCATTCATTCTATCTAGTATCATTTTTTGTAATCTCAAAAGTTCTACTCATTGTTCATGTAGATACTATTATTTTGGTTTCAATAAAGATGAAAACATCTGATAATAATATAAAATTTGAACCATAGTAAATGATAGTTTTTCTAATGAATTGCTTATATAATATCTAGAACAAAAACTTCAAACATTCTATTTTCTTAGATGTTTGCTTCAGAATCTTTTTCAATATCTGCTGTGTAAAATAAATAAATCATGTTGTTTTCGATACTATATTGAAAGATGCAAAATAGATTAATTTCTTCTCTCATGAAAATTGGCACTTTCAGGAGGTCACAAACTATAAGGATAAATTTTGTTTTTTTTTATAATGACTTTTAAGGTAATAATCGCTATAAATATCTCAATAGAGAAACGTAGTAATATGTAATTTCGATGAGCGTCATTTATTATGATAATGGCAGAATAGGTAACTGAATGTTCCGTCTTATAAAAAATATCACGATAGTTTTTCATCATCTTATTAAGAAAAATGAAAAATATTATGCATGGAATGAGCTCTTGATAATATAAATATTAAGAATTTTTTACATATTCATCTTTTGTTTTATAGACTTAAATTATTTATCTTATAATATACAAAAATATATATACAGACATTTTTCTTTGTTGCTTCATTATTAACTACTGAACAGTTCTAATGTTTCTTCGAGCATTTGGTTTGTTATTGATTTCCTGTTGTGTGTTTGTCAATTGTTTAGCTCCTGTTCCACCGGTATATCGCAAAGCTGTAATGGGTCTAAAGCTTTATAGGTCATCTGCGTCATACAATCCAGTTGTATATTCTTTACTTAATATTCTTATTCATAATAAACAAGCAAAAGCATTCGTTTCTGATCAAGCAATTGAAATGGCGTTAGATGAAATGAAAGAATTTGATCAAAAAACAGCATCAAATAATGAACAATTATTACGTCAACTAATTTATGATACTTATTGTAAAAATAATGAAAGCAATTGTTTACGTTCGAATCGAAACAAACACAATCATGTAACACCAGATCTTGCACAAAAAATTGTTTTAACACTTGATGATTATTTTACAGATGATAGTCAAGATCATCATCCAACAGCCATTGTGTATAATGGAAGCAAAGACTGAATGTAAAATAAATTAAACACATTTTTGTTTTTCATAATATCAATGTTAAAATAACAGCTTCTTGCAGTGTTTTTCTTTAAATGTATCTAAACATTCATAAGTATTCATCGTATTAAAATAAACTAAACAAATATGCAGTAATTAGTCTTGTTTTCTCTGTCAACAACATGATATAGAAATATATGAAATCTAAAGAAAACCATGCAGGATGAACAATCTTGAACTCTGATTTCAACAGATCCTATAATTTATTCTGCACAACTAAATTATATCTGCCAAGACTTTTACAACATCCGATAAGAAATTGCCGGTTAACAGATACGATAAGCTTAAAAATTATTGCAGATATTTAGGAACTGCTAAGATATGCAGATTTTTTTTCATTAAAACAATACCGACTAGAATGAATATCACGGTCAATGTAATATGCTATATACAACGTCATACACAGTCGAATATAAGACCATTTAACGTCATCCGACTAGTATATTGCAACAATTATCATGTTTCTCTATTTAATTATTTAATACATTGTCCATATACACTGCTGTTGAGAAGGTTTCAATTAGATGAAATGTTTACAATATTCTATTGTCTCATGTTTAGACTTTTCACTCAAAAATAAATTTAAATAAAAAAAAAGTGTATTCAAGTTATATTTTATTAATTTATCAAAACATCTTGCAATTGTAACTTTTGTCGGTGTTGACATAAGAAATTGAGCAGTAAAAGCACTTGAAAAGAATAAAATATATGAATGGAAGATCAAAATAATCATTTCTTTTGGCTAATTTGGAAAAAAAAATCTAATAAAGCTAATAGAAAGAAAAGAGTTCTGCTTCCAGAAATAGTTTTCTAGAACTAAAACAAATGTCTATGATGGCTAAGCATTTTCGAATATTCGTTTTGTTTTAATGGTCCGAAAAAGCATCATTAGATGTAACACTACTTTGTGATCGAATTCTGATCCATTTGGAACATAAAGTACTTTGAATATATCTTTAAGTTATTCTGATGATCAGAAAAGATAAGATTTAACGGATTATTCCAGCTTGTCAGTTTAGCGCGGCACTTCACTGATCAATTTTTTGAAAAAGCTTTTTTTTGTCTTGAACAGATCTGAAAGTATTATTCAGTGCAAATTTTTAAGCTAATTATGAATGTGACATTTATGCTTTTAACAAAACTCATTTAGAAAAAATAGATTGTTATAAGTTGCGTCGAATGACGTTTAAATGAGCTTTCTAGCTGTCAAGCCTTTCGAGATAATTGAAAAAAAAGTGTCAAAAACGTAATAGTATTACTTTTGGACAAACCGATTTATCATCAATTTTCGATAAGTTTCTGTTGTCAAATGTCATTATATCCGATGCATAGAATTTTACGATATTTGACTGCGAAATTAAAAGATTTCAATACTTTCAAACAGTCAGCTTTGTCAAGATGTCAATAATCGAATAGTTTAGAAATTCAACGGACTTGACCAAGGGCTTTCGATCAAGAAAATCAAGTCCTATTCTTTGTTTTAGTTTCTTTAAAAACTCCATAAGAACTTTGAATTATATCGACAACGCATAAAAAACATTGTGTGTGTAGACTTTTAGAATATGTTGCGTCAACTATTTGAAAAATTGATGCACTAATTTGCTGTAATAAACCAAGTCATGACGCATTTCCTGACAACTTTTGTTTGTACGTTTTTTTCTAAGTTATGCAGTAAACTCTTTCTTCGCCTATCACAAACTGAAATCAAATAGAAAGTTCCAGGTATCACATCATATATGATATAAAGAGCAGCTGCTACGTTAACATTCTATTTATAATTAAAGTTCTTACTGAACTTTTAAGTTTCTTCTTTCACATTTCTTTATTTTATTAAAGATAATTGAAATATTCATATTTCGAATTTTTGTGACTTTTATGAAAAGTTTTTCAACAGAAGATAAAGGTAGTCTTGTAACATATGTTATATTTTGAAAAACAATTTCAATAATCTACATGAAATGTTTCCTTGTCATTCATGCTTAAAATATTGAATAAGACCAACTGGTTCTATTTGTACAAATAAAATAAAATATAAATTGTGCCCATTTTGCACAAACTTATTCAATTTGAGAGATACTCATTTGCAAAAGAAAAGTATCAATAAGACAAACCATTTAATGAATAATATTTTGCATAATTCACATTTTATTTTCTACTTTTGAAAAAAATTCGGTGTTTTATTAGGCAAACTATTAACGCTAAGTTAAATTTTGAGGTAGTCTAATTAAGATGTTGAAGACACTTATTCTAATTTATTGTATACAGTCTTTTACATACAGATATTTTCGAGTAGAATACGAATCAATGAATAAAATCGTCATAGATCATCTCCAACCCATTATGTAGCCTCATATCTTGTCAAATAATAATGGAAATGATCTCATTTTTTACAATTCAGCAACAGAAGTAATCCATAAAATTAAAGTATTAGTTAAGAGTCGATCTAGATTTGTCCCAGTCAAAACTGGTGTATTGGGTATCCAATCAGTTTGAATATTCACTTAACTGACCTATAATTCAATTAACAACTAAAATAGACTATAATTTAACCAAGAAGTCAAGTTACTTGTCAGTTCTATACTCTACAGCATTCGTTCTAAAATATATAGTTCCTTCCGAACACATTTGCATCGTATTTGGTATAAGTTTTATTTACTCAATGCAATTTATTACTTGTCAAGCTGCTGTGACTATGAGAAAATCATTTGCCAATAACAAGACAGATTGGTCGGATTTCATATAATCGTCAAAATATGCTGCTACAGCTTTGCAACAGCTGTGAAAACAAATATGAATAAAACTATCTAAATGAGCTATCACTACCGTTACCTTTAAAAGTTTACTGCAGCATCTTTATGATAAAGAATTTTTCTATTTTTTTGTAAGTTGATGTTGAAGTTCTTTATTCAACAGTTTCATTTAATATGTATTCAGATCAATATAATTGTTCTATTTTATATCTCAGATCTTATGAAATCATTGCTTTAGCATGCAGTCGTGATACAACATAATTGTCTAATAATAACAATTTTCTGAAAGCGATTAGTTGATACTGAATGTTTATTTCTGAGTTAATGATATGTCTTGATCAATTATAGTTTTTCATCACTTATATAAAGTCTATCAAATTTCTTTGATTATTGGTTCAATGGATAGAAACGTTCCTTTTTCACTTGAACAATAGTCAAGTGGAAGACAGTTTTGTCTGCAAAAGGCATGAAAAAAAAACTTTATTATGCTGAATAGTTGTCAACAGTAGAACGACATAGTCAAAAAGATGGTAGTATTATAAAATTAGTTTTGATTCAATATTATGAAAAAGTCTAATTAATATATAATAAGTTGTGTTATAATTTAATGCGTAATAATGATCGAATACAATCATAATACAAAAATAATGATTAGGTTCACCATCATATTCATTTCATATTTAATTACTGCCCTCAATTTCGAGGATCTTCAGCATATAATTAACTATTTTTCTGTTTGAAATACTCTTTTTCATCAATATCAATAGATGAACTTGAGCATGTTTCAACTAATAATAATGAACGTATCCAATTAGTATATATGAGCCATGATGAACGATTATCATGATTTCTTCCTATGAACACTGGTGTCATAAGCAAAAAGAGAAAATTAGCAGAAACTTATTCACTGGAAGTGAAAGTTACACTAAAATTAATTCATCAGTGACCTGTTTTTTTTAAACTCGTTAATTTCGAACGATGAAGGCAATGTCTTTTGACATAGCACTAAGGTAATGATTTCAAAAAATATCTTATCTCATAGTGTTCAGAAATAATTAATATTTCATCAAAGGTATATGCTGAGAATATATTGATTATGATTGTCCATAGGCTTTTGTTGTTTATTATTGATCGATAACGAAATCAAGATGCCTATTTTAATATACATTTCATCAAAAGCCAATTGCATTAATTAAACCTATACTTGTTTACCATACGTTTCATATTCATATGTTCTATGTGTAGTGATGAACTAGACCAGTATCACAAGATGCCAACAATATTTCTCGTTAGTCCTGCACACAAAAAGAAAAAGTCTATTTGTAACTTTTATATTTGAAATACTCTTTTTTCTCTCTCTCTCCTTCATTATCAATCGACTTGAACAAAACAACTATTGGGGTACTTTTTCAAATTTATGTTTGTCAACTATCAATAACCCGCTTAGATGCACTAGAAATTATGGCGTTCTTATCAAGCAGAACTTATCCCTAGTGAAACATCTTGTAAGCAAGATCTTGACCAAGATCCAACGTACAGAAATGTTAGTAGATCTTGAAGAATTTTGTACACGATAATTGTATTATCTTGTAACAAGATCTGTGGTTAGATCTTGGGAACAGATAGTTTAGATCTTAGTAACAGATATTCAAGATCTTTTACACAATATCTTGTCTTTTATGATCTTATTCACTGATATTTTGCACAGAAAATTGTATCTTAGATACTAGAATTCACGATTTCCAAGATCCTACAAATAATCTTTTGTTTTTTCTTTATTTACTATTCCTGTTTCTATTGAAAGATACAAAATCTTTTTTTATCATAGCCGTTCACTAGTAAAAATGCTACAAGAAATATATTCGAAATAGATGAAAATTATTCACATAAATAAAAAAATATCTCACATTATACAGATTGATTTAAATGAAATAAAATTACAATAAAAAACAGCATATTAGAATGAAGAAATCATATCTTAAAACATTCCATTAGTCATACAATTTAAAAAAGATTATATTTCGTTGTTTTAAATTGAAAGATTATCTAAAAAGCATTGTATCTAGAAAGTTTCTATCTAAAAAAAGAATATCATACGATTATCGTTGTCAAAGCTTAGAATCTGTTGTCAATCATATTTTCAACAAAAACTTACCCACCTACAGGAATATACAATAAAATTGGTTGCACAAGATTCAAACAAAT